CTCCAAAATGATAGGTGAACCTGCGCCAGGGTAATCCAATATTTTCTACAAAACTCGAGCACAACTCTGTCAAGAGGACCCAACGTAAAGGGGTATGTGTATGCGTTAAAAAATCCCTCTACATGAGTCATGATGTTCTCTTTCATGGAAGGTGCCTGCAATACCACCTTTTCTCCCCATCTGCAGTCTCTCCGAACCGCCTCGAGGTGTTCCTCTCCTATTGATGAGATAAAACTCAATGCGTGTTCCCAATGGCCCTGAACATTGGGCGGTCTCTCTTACAAAAAGTCCCTCCTCGAGACAAAGCACATTGAGGTTAGGTCACCGGACACCGGCAGTGTACCACTGACCGAGCGGGAAGCAGAGGCGGAACTCTCCTCCTCTTGGTGGACAAATTTGTGCATAGCAGACATAACTACTATGAAACAAGAAGAAGGGGATGAAAACTTAAATGAATGCCTTGAACTAAATAAATGGAAGCACTAATGAAAGGAGGAAAAGCTCTACTAGGATAGTAAAGTCCTCAAATAAGAGGAAAGTAAGCTCATATATAGAGCAAGTGGCGACTGTTAGCCTATTCTGAAGGCCAATTATTCCTGACCATGTTAGTGCCACTTTTGGGGAAGTGTATCGGTGGGACCACCCCGGTCACTTTGCAATCATGCCCTACAAATGACATCGTCGTATGTCGTTCGAGGGGTCAAGATTCTCGTACCAATCTAGTGTTGAGATGGTTCCCGATCTCGAGGATCTCTGTTGTTATATCTATAAGCTCTAAGGGGCTATCAACATTGGTCTAGCCTCGAGATGGTGCACGATCTCGAGGATCTCTGCCACTACAAAATAGGCCCCGAAACAGTTAACAATCTAGCCTCGAGATAGTGCTCGATCTCAAGGATCTCAGTTACTCCGAGTGTGGGCTTTAAAAGAGCCGACATTAAGACTCAACAGACTAGCGTTATATAAGCACTGAAAAATAAATTTGAAGACTTAGAATAAAAGGATATCTTTGTATTCTCAAAAACTCATTTACAGAATATGTCTTTACAAAACTCCCTAGAGGAGCCCATACAGAAAAGGCAGAAAAGAAGAAGCAGAAAGGACGACATGAGACTATTCCTCACCCTCACTACCATTTGATTCACTTCCGAAGTCCTCATCTGAAGTAGTTGAAGGCGTTTATCTCTCCTCCAAGATTCTAGATTTCTTGATCTCACTAGGGTGATCAATACCTTCGGTATTTGCTTCTTCGAGGGCCTGCCTCTAAGCTTGTAGACGACCATAAGCAATGGCTCTAGCCAACTTCTGCTCGGCCTTCTTAGATATCTCCCAGTCTCGAGCGTTTGCAGTAGCAAAATCTTTATTGTATAAGGACACATATTCAACAGCCTCAGCCTTAGCTATAGATAGTGCAACAACCTACTTCTGAGCATTTCAAAGAAGTTCCCGGGTCGAGGTCAACTCACCCTATAGAAGGTCCTTTTCTGAGGTCACGACCCCATTATACCTCTTCAGCTCGAGGAACTCCGCATCCTTGGCCGCGACCTCTTACCGAAATTACCCCACCAGGGCATCCTTTTGCCCACTCAGCGAAGGCAAAATAAGATCATGCATATCAAGTTATGAGAATAAACGAATGAGCACACGAATACCATGTTACCTGCTCGATAAAGCTGCTCCTTTCTTGGTGCACCCCCTCCAGGCTTACCCAAAGCTCACCCAACTCCTCCTCCTTTCAGGCGGAAGAAGACTCCGACTTATTTAGCTCCGAGGTGAGCTTCTCAAGTTCCTTCTCACGGCATGAAAGCTTGTCTAGGATCTTAGATAAGGCATGGTCATACAACTTATTGACCTACAACAAAAGCAGAAAAGTTGAGAAGGCAAGGTAAAAACTTGAAGCGCAAATGGTATGTCGAGAATACTACTACTGTTGAAGCTTCTCAACCTCCTCGAGAGGGATGGGGAAGTCGAGGTCTGTGTCCATGTCAATTCTAACGAAGTAGTTCCCGAGCATATCTTCCTCTCCATGAGAGGCCCCCACACTAGTTGTACCCGTATCCTAGGCATCCCTAATTTCCCCCGGTGAAAATGAAAGGCCCAATTTAAAGCCACCCAGGGCATCAAATTCTGTCAGGATCTCTTCTCGACCTCGAGAAGCTTCGGGTTTAGACCTTGTGGAATTGACAATCAAGGTTTCATCAGCACATACTGTGCCATATCTGACTTGAAGATCAGGGACTGCACCCGAACCCTTCTCAAGGGTCTCCTCAGCACGGGTTAGGTGCACATCGACCATTACCAGCTCGTCAACCTCGTGCCTAGTAGCCTGTGGAACATCTGCATCCCGTCTTGCCCTTTGTTCCAAAGGTTAATCATCATCATCATCACCTTCACCTTCAGTGTAGAGACTTGCCACTGCAGCCAAAGCCGAGACCGTGGCGTCGATCTTAATTGAAGACTCGGTCGAAGCTTCCTTCTTCCTCTTCTTACCCTTGTCGGGTTTTGAGGTTTCTTCTTCACCAACGGGAGACGATCTTATCGATACACCATCCTCGAGGCCTAAATAAGCATGACATATCAAACTTATCACCACGAAAAATACACATAAGAAATTTGGCAACGATAGTAAGAAGTACTTACCATGGTTCTTAGCCTGCCACCGAGTCTTGGCCAAATCATGCCAAGAATGCCACTGTAAGGGAAGGTAGAGTCTATCTTTCTAATCCACCCCAAAAGTTTCTAAACCATGGCGCGGTACCAAATGGTGGATGCATAGTCAAAAGAAGATCATTTCAGAATGGGAAAGAAGGGGTAATAAAACGAACTCGAAGTAGGAACACTTACGCTGCATATTCCATTCCTCCGAGAATGACATCCTATTAGCCGGGATAATGTCCAATGTCCTCGCTATAACAAACCGGCTCATCCATACCCAATCCTTGTCATCATAAATGCTCAAAAAGAACGTCTTTTCAGATTGAGGATGAAGCTTAATCAAACCTCGGTAGAAACGAGGGTTGTACAACCTGACCAGGTGATCGAGGGTGAAGGTCGTTCGCTCAACCTGATTCGAAAAATATCGGAGCATGTAAACGATCCTCCAAAAAGAAGGATAGATTTGATTGAGTGTCACTCGGTACTCTCGGCAAAAATCATGAATCACCGAATCTATCTTCAGGGAAGAAAGATCTACGGGACCTAGAGTTAATGGATAGGTATATATGCTGAGGAAGCCAACTTTGTAGTCTACTATGCTTTCCGCAGGCTTGGGGATCTCTACTTGAACTACCACCCCCATGAGTAGTCTTTCTTCACTCTCTGTGTATCGGTTACCACACTGATATACCGAGATTAGTGGTATTTTCGATGGAAAAATCAGAAACTATATCGAAGTGGTTGGGGGTACGTTGCTCAATAGTCGGAGGTATTTTTGGTTTGCCCTTGGACGGGCGTGATGAGTAAGTGGCACCCTCAGCCTGAGGTACCATTGTAGAGGTTCTAGCCATAATTATAAAAAGGGTTTCTAAGAAAGATGATGAAGAAGTAAGCACAGGAAGAAGATGGATGCAGAAAGCTGTGAACTTAGCCATAAAAACTTGATGTTGTATAAATGTGAATGGCAAAAAAAATTGAAGTATTTATAGCAGCCGTTTAGGCGATGTTTGAGGAGCGAAAAGGTTGAACCAATGATGGTTTGTAGGGCTTCTCGATAATCGTGTTGATAGCAACCGCTGCACAGCCTTTGAGTCATGGCATTGAATGCTTTGATAAAGTGATGTCATAATGGGAATATCAAAGAAGCAGGAATTCAAGGAAGTTTCTTATCATTCTATTCTAAGAAACGCAGGGACTATCTGTATACAACTAAAATTGGAGAACCCGATTTTATGATCATTGTGACATCCCATAGACCGTCTTTATAAGGCCCGTGGTACAATTCGAGCCCCGACCCCGAGTGTTCCCTATACTCGATCTTGGGGTAGAGCAAATTGGCGGCTATGATGAATGAGTGGGAGATTCCCAAGGAAATGGTTAGAGTTGATCAAGTCCATAATAATAGTACAAGCCTGTACCATGGAATTAAATGGTTGTACCAGCCGCATATCGTTGTAATAAATATATATATGTAATATGTTGGGATTCTCCCTCCTATATAAAGGGTATCCTTGCTATTTATTGCACACATGATATTCAATACAACAATAAGAACATTCTCTGCTCTCTAACTTAAACACTCTCTATTGTCTTTTCTTTGATTTATTGCTTACATTTATTGTGTTTCATTATGTGTTCTTCATTTATTACTCAACATTGGACATAAAGAGCCTTCATTAAATCTCCTAAAACTGTTAGTTCTTCATCAATCAGCTCCAGTCGAGCTCATTAGCTTAACCCCAAGGACAAGTCCCAGTATAGGCCAGCTCGAGGCCTCGATCCTCAACAACTCGGCTTGTGTAGCGTTCTATTTTCAAGCTCTTATCTTATTCTCTAGTCTCACACTTAGCATCTACTGCCTAAGAACTAGCATAAAAATAAATAACATATTTTTAGAACCACTGAATCAAATCTAATTGGTATTACCATTTTCAAGGTAAACAATTTTCATGGTGGAGCTATCAAGGAACTTGGCACAGGTTTGCGGAATATGGAGATGCAAGTGTGACAAATTGCTATTGTCTGAGAGAAATGTAGGAACTCTCCCGGCTGATACTTAGAAGAATCTTATAGAAACGGTAAACTTTGTGACATTGAGAAGCGGGCAACTATAGAAATAACCCGCTCAAGTCCAAAAAGGGGTGATACCTAAAAAAGAAAGTGGGGAGGAGCTGAAAATTGAGATTGATAAGAAGAAGAAAGGAAAAAATGCAGTAGAGAAAAATAAGAAGGAAAAAACATCAAGAAGGGATGAACATGATGTGAGCGAGCATATGCTTGCTCTACCTTTTCCCTAAAATCTATATAGAGAAAAGATAGACAAGCAATTTGAGAGATTTCAAGTGATGCTGAGACAGGTTAATGTAAACCTGCCTTTCACTGAAGTCCTCTCACAAATGCTAGCTTATGCATTGTTATTAAAGGAGATCCTTATCAAGCAGAGGAAGATGGAAGAGACATCGGTAGTGAAGCTCACAGAGCATTGTAGTGAAATCTTGCAAAACAAATTTCCACAAAGGTGTAGCGATCCAGGGAGTTTTACTATACCCTACTCTTTAGGCAATCTTAACTTTGATAAATCTTTATGTGGTTCTGTTGCCTCAATTAATATATTGCCTTTATATATTTACAGGAAGCTAGAAAATGAGATTGAAGAGATAAGGTCGGCACCCGTATCTTTACAACTAGCAGACCAAACGTCTATAATACCCGAGGGGGTAGTGGAAGATGTTTTGGTGCGGGTAGGTAAGTTTGTATTTCCTGTTGATTTCATAGTAGTGCGGATGGAGGATAATAAGTAGGCACCCCTCATTTTAGGAATACCATTCTTAGCAACGGGTAGAGGGATATTAGACATATATGATAGAAAACTCATGCTTAGAGTGGATGAGGAGAATGTGACTTTCGAGATGAATGTAGAAACGTGGGTGAGAAAGGAGAAACCAGCTGCAAGTGTTGAATGGAAGGTGAAGAGTTCAAAAGAGAATTCTCCAGTGAATGAGAAAGATAAGTATGCGGTGTAACCTATGAAGGCAGAGTCGAAGCTTTCTGCACGGATGTGTGCACTAGTTCAGGCAAGGAGAATGGAACCCGACTACAGATTCAGGAAAGTTTCCTCTACCTTACATTTTATAATTGTATGGCATGGGGACATGTAACAACTTAAAGTGTGGGGTGGGGGATAAATGCAAGTTGTATGTCTATGCGTTAGTTTTTGTTTTTTAGTTGTTATAAAAAAAACGGGCAATCCGGTATACTAAGCTCCCGCTATGCGCGGGGTCCGGGGAAGGGCCAAACCACACCGGTCTATTGTAGACAAACTTACACTATATTTATGCAAGGGTTTATTTCCATGACTTTAACCCATGACCTCCTGGTCACATGGAAGTAACTTTACCAGTTATGCCAAGGCTCCCCTTCTTAGTAGTTAGAAAATATTGAAAAAAAAAATTAAAATTTTTTATGTCTCACAATGATGGATATCATATCGACGTGTTTCTTGAGAGATGTAAACCGAAGGAAAAAGACAAAGATTTTCTTTTGTTGGCTAGTGTATGAATTCCCCCATGGTTTTTCTTTGTGCCACTATTCTTTTCCAAGGGTTTTGTTTGAACCGGGTGTAGTTAGTTTTTTACTTTATTTTTAGGATTAGGAAACCTTGTGCTTATGATGTGAATTGAAGCAATATCTCTTGACTTTGTTACCCCTTAATAATAGTGAGTGCTTTAGTTGTGACGCCTAGGCTCAGTTTTTTACTCTTGTATAAATACATTAAATTGTATGATCTTAACTTTGTTTAACTGCTTTGACTAGAATATCTTGATAGTCTGATCCTGAGTGAGTTATGTGTCATGTGTGTGTGAGGTCTTTGTGTTATTCTGTGCATTGCATTTGATGTCTATTACTTGCCCCGTGTGTTTGCAAAGCGAAATAATAGCTTTATTTTGTCTTGGAAGTGATATAAGCATTTATTTGTTCAGCCAGTTATATGATTTTATCCACCTAAATATTATGTATCTTAGTTAACTCCTTTGATCCCATCATCCTGTTTCTTTGGCAACCACATTACAAGCCTTTCCCATTTGTTTGAATTGACCATCTATTTGAACCTTGTTACCTCTCGTCAGTTCTTGAAATTGTTATGAACTTTGTAAAAGCTGAAGTGTGGGGTGTTTTGTTTGGATTTTGATTGGAACTAATGAAATAACAAGAAAGGTGCACTTTTTTAAAAAAGTAAGAGCAACTTGAATTGAAAAAGAAAGAATAGAACAGTTGTATTGGTGTTAAAAATATTCTTTGATAATGGTGACTCTTGATGTAATTGTTCTTAAATAATTAGGAGTTGATGTATGTTGATGCGAAGGTGGAGTTATGGTTTGACTTAAGTTTGGGGTTTTAAATGTAAAAGTGTATGTAGTAAAAGTGTTTAGGGAGATGTAGTCACTCTTATAGCTAAATGTATCCAACACATCCCGCAACCTTCATTACAACTAGTTAAAAGTCCTACTTGATCCTTGACTGAATGCACACGAATTAGTAGAGTAGGACACTACAGGAAAGCCTATAATGCATATTTTGTGGCATATGAATGTTGTTTCATAGAGTGAGCGACTTCTTTCTATTTTGAGTTTGCTGATTGTTCTTAAATTTTATTATGTGTGTAACTACTCTCTATTGTTGTGTGAGGGCACATGATTCATGAAGAAAAGGTAATGGCGTTGACCTCTATGTTAGAGTAAGTGAGTAAGTTATGATTAATGCGTGGTACTTGTGAGTCAATTCTTGAGGTGAAGAAGTTACACTATTGTGCTTAACCTATTTTAAATATTCTTTGTGTGATGAGTTATGAGAGTTGTTTGATAAGGTCGTGTCAATATGAAGTGTAGTTTGATTGCTCGAGGACGAGTAATGGTTTAAGTGTGGGGTGTTGATGGTTGGCTATAATCTTGTGTTTAGTTTCTTATTGCATTCTAATTTACTGCACTTTAATTGAGGTGAAACTTTAATCACTAGTGTTTTGCACTAATTGTGTGTTTTATGCCTTGTAGGCATGATTTTGAGCTATGTATATGTTATGGAATGAAATCAAGATATTAAGGAGCATTGAAGTCTGAGTAAAATCATAAGAAATTAAGATGGGATAGTGTTCGGGGATCAACGGACGATAGTGCTCTTAAAGAACAAAATGGAGAATCGAGCAAGAAGCCACCCAGGTGCGCGAGCGTGCATTAGCCGTGCACTAGGCAAGCATTGGAGGCAGAATGTGGTGTAAAATGCACGGCCATATGCGCGAGCACACTCCCAGGTGCGCGGCCGCGCACGTCTAACTCCGGAAAGTGTCCTATTTAGCGTAGAAAAATGTGTTTTCGCTTGGGCCCGACCCTACTTGGCATATATACATGGAAAAATGGTATTTTGGGTATTCTGACGCATCTAATACCTAAGGAGGCTAAGGAGAAGTTTGAGAAACAAGAGCACAAGGAATCTATCATTCAATTCCAACTCAAGACACATGTTTGGATTGTTTTATGTTTTTCTTTACTTTAAACTTCATTGTGATGAATTACTCCATGTCTATGGAGTAGTTCTCTTTAGGGTTTTATGGATTTGGTGTATTGACATTTGTTTGTGCATTATAACTCTAGTTTATTTATTGAATTGTTTTGGTTGTTTTAAATTGTTTCATCTATAATCAATAGTTCATGTAATCAAGAGAGGTATAACTTGTGATAATTTTGTCTTATCGTTTGCTGAGTAAATTCATTAATTCTTCTTAGTAATCGAAAGAGACTAGTTGAATTGTTGATTAACCTAGTTAGGAGAATAATGGAAAGAGGTTTTTCCAAAAAACCAACTCATTACGAAATCTTGCATATTTTTATCGAGCTTAATTTAATTCATATTGTGAGGTTGAAACTTAATCGATAGAGAGTTTTTGCTGAATGTGTGAACAAATAATTGACGGAATTCAAGAGAGTCACTTAACATTAGAAGTGAATTATCTAGAGTTAGGTCCCAAACATTTGTCTTGCACCTGTCCTATCAATCCTATATTCTCCTATTGACGTCATTCCTTACTTATAACTTGCGTCGATTGTCATCAGCCAATAGTTTAGAATCTTAGTTAATTTTAGTTTTAAATCACATAAATCTCGGTTGTTCATCATCTTGGATAGAAATCTAGCTACAAACTACGATAATAACTATTTAACTTCAATCCTTATGGATATAATATTATATTTACTATATTTGACTAACGAGCATATTTAAGTGTGTGTTTTGTGCTCATCAGGCACAGTTATAAAGGCATCATTAGCGAGGCAGAGTCATCCGGATAACACTCGAATGAAGAAGATATGGGGTTTCTAAACATGTCATACTCTAAACGACAACGTTTACCGTAAATATAAATAATTTTTCAAAACTATTTATCTAAAAATGCTTGACCTACTTTTCCACCTGTCAAAATTCATGTCATAATTCACCATAGTCGGAAAGAGTATGAAGGGATCAATAACAAAGGACAAGTTTACAATCACCACAAATCAACACCCCTACCCCACTAAGATGGATCGAGCTCTACCCTAGGCTAGTTGTGTGGGTGTAACTGCTCGCGCTAGAACCATGATATGGGTTCCTGGAGTTGTACCCAACTCAAAAGATTGGGGCAGTCCCTTTTTATATTACTTAAGTCTCCACACATAAAACAACACATCATTTTGTGAGTTTGCTGACTCTATGAATGCCTGAGAATCTGAATACACAACTGAGGAACCCAAACAAATTGAGCAAGGTATGAACTTTGTGTCGGTAATGCACTTATAATCGAGTACTGTATGAAACATGTCCGACTAAATAACCACGATTAACTTGATGGGTTGACTGAACATGCCTGAAAGAACGACCTCCACAGTGATGCCCCTGCCTTCCAGATGAGGAGTTACTAAAACTAGCTAAACCCTGGGGCCTCTTGACATCCAACTCCTCTTCCTCCTACCTACACACATGCTCTAAGAGCCTAACAATCTACACAACCTGATGAAAAATAATATCAGTCTCAACCTCACGGACCATACCATAACGGATACCAAAGTTGAGGCCCTATGTGAACCTCTTAACACTCTCCCTCTTAGTAGGGACCAATAACACAACATGTCATGCCAACATTGTGATACTCATCTCTTATCGAGTCAGGGTCATGCCCCCTGTGGCATAGATGGTCAAACTCACTATGCATCTCATCTTGGCGAGTATGTGGAATAAATTTTACCAAAAAGTGATGTGAGAACTAAGACCATGTGAGTGGTGTTGTGCTAGCTTGTCTACTTGACTCATAAAATTGCCACCATCTATATGATATCCCCTTAACTGGAACATAGTAAATCGACCCCATTCGAATCCACTACACCAATAGTCGAAAAGAATCGATGACAAAGATCAAGGAAACCATGTGCATCCTCAGCAGACTCTCCACTAAACTAGGGAGGATCAAGGAAACCATGGCGCCTATCATGAAGACAAGGCTAGCCAACACTTTCCCATTTCAGTTTTAAGAAATTAAGAGATAAGCATTTAGTCCTAAACATCATAAAAACCTAAAAGTAAGCAGTGACAATACTAAACACTTTGCGGAATACAACCCAACACAACCTGATACCGGGGTGTCACAAGTCATGAGTATCTATCAATTCTAGTACAAGTCTGAGAAGTCTACAAAACTATTACAAAGTCACTAATAAGG